GAATTTTTCAATGGTTCGTTTGTCAATACCACCACATTTGTAAATCAAATGACCAGTTGAGGTTGATTTTCCCGAATCGACATGACCAATAACGACGATATTTATGTGAATTTTTTCTTTACCCATTGTTGTTGTTTAGTAATGATGTTACACTTGAAAACAAATCGAGAAGTCTGAAAGAAATTACACCACTAGATGCATTAAGAAAGTGTTGAAAGTTTAGAAAGAAAGTCGAACGCACGAGGAAGATGAAATGTACCAATCTTTTTTAAAATCATTATTTGAACTGAATTAAAGTACAAAATAATGTTTGTTGTAATCAAAATAAGATAGCGAAGAAATAGTGAAGGTTGCTCGTGTTTTATTTCAATATTGTTGCTTGTTTTGCGGGAAAAAAACGCACATCCATGTAGTTTGTTAAGGTGACACTGCATTTGATAAAAACTTCACAGTAAAAAAAGATAATGAAATAAAAGTATACTTTTAACACAACTGTTTATGTGTAGAAAGAGTATGGTAGAAAAAAAGAGAAATAGATAACTAGAAAAACAATCAAACAAGAAATAACAAACATAAAAGAAAACTTTTCCTAGAAAAAAACCGGTAGCAGAACAAAGAAACTTCAAAAAAACAATATACTTTTCCCACTAGCATGCTTTTCTTCCAAGAAAAAAATTCTTTCCGTCTTCGTCTTTTCTCCCAACATGTATGTAAAAACAAACGAAAAACCACATTAGCCGATGAAAACATAACGATACGACATACTTCAGTATTTCTTTTCTCGTTAATGTTTTTCTTGTCCCATTTAAATATTAATGGGAGACATTGCTATTTCTTCTTACCAGCCACTGCTGCTGATTTTGTTACTTTAGCTGAACCTGCTGCTTTCTTTTCAACATCTTTGATGACACCGACGGCAACCGTTTGTCTCATATCACGTACGGCAAAACGTCCCAATGGTGGATAATCACTGAACTTCTCCACACACATAGGTTTTGATGGAAGCATTTTAACCATGGCTGCTTCACCTGATTTTAAAAATTTTGGTGCTTCTTCAATTGTTTTGCCTGATCGACGATCAACTTTTTCTAATAATTCTGCAAATTTACATGCAATGTGTGCGGTATGACAATCTAACACAGGCGCATAACCTTGACCAATTTGACCTGGATGATTCAAAACAATGACCTGCAAAGAACACAGTAACATATGACCAATTTGTCTATACAATTCTAAGGGCACCACTAAGTCTTGCAGCCCAACATGACTATTCTAGCCACAGATAATGATATGTAGGCAGAACACGAAGTAGATGCCAACTACCCTTCGGGAAGATTGGAAACCCGACTGAGGCAACTATATCTTGAAAACACTTTAGACATCGTTTGAATCGTAAATGCAGTTAGAACACTTTAGTGCCCTAACAGTAAACATTTTGATACATTCTATCGGTAGTAATGTTTCAGATTTTAAATGCATCACAGAATATAGACTGATGAGGAGCACGTGACTACTACGTGACTAATGAGTCACTCTACTCGGTTCATACTGAATGTATATGAAGTGTCACGTGATTATTATCTCAGAGAAAAGTTATTGAAAATATTTTCAACTTTTGGGACTCATTACTCTGTCGTTTTTCCTATCAGATAATCAATCGTCACGTGATATCGTTAATAGTTAGGAGTGGCACTGTTCTAGTTACTCGGTAACTTCACTAGTCAGTTATTTCGTTACTTCTAACGAACTTAGTTACTTCTTTACTAGTAACGAGTTATTCATTTCGTTACTTAGTAACTCTGGTTACTACTCCAAAAGTAACGGTTTTTTGTTACTTTCTGGTGTAACGAGAGTAACGAAGTAACTAAGTAACGGAATAAGCTACTCATTACTAGTAACTAAGTAACGAAATAGTTACTCGTTACCAGTAAGCAAATAACTAAGTTCGTTACTAGTTACAAGTAATGTAAAGGTAAAGTACCATCCCTATTAATAGTGAATATATACTATAAAGTGCTTGATATGAAATCTATACCAGAATGTACGATAGGATAATGAATCAGCTGATATGTCACCTCAGTCAGTAACATATCATACATTCTGCTATAGGTTTCATCATATCGAGCACTATATATCTGTTCTCTTCCTGTTGAGCATTATCTTTCTCAAGAAAAGTCAAACTGCAATAACTTTCTAGACTTTCTAATTTTGTCTCTTTATAGTTTCACTCAATCGACCTTCCAATCTACCGCAGAGCCGTTGGCTTTCTAGTTAAGCCGACCGAGTGGAACTCGAAGCGGCTTATTGTGTTTCACTACAAAAAAAACCTTGCCTTCTTTCCTACACCCACTTTTTCCTTTTAGTCAGCCACTCGTTCTCACCTAGCCCTGATCGTACAGATTTGGTAAAAAGATGATTCCAAAGTACAGCACCTGTAGATGGGACATCTGAAGGTATTTTTATTTCGATATACGTTTTAATTGAGCAATAAATCCCAAAAATTGAGCGTTTTATCAATAACTTTTCTATGAGATAATTAATTGTCATGTGACACTTTATATACATTCAGTATGAACAGTGCAGAGTGACTCATTAAGTAGTCACGTGCTATCTAGTAGTATCTACTTCTGTATACTTATCTTGATGTATTTATATTCTGAAACATTATTACTGATAGAATGCATCATATGTTTACTACTACTACTACAGCACTGCAGTGTTCTAACCGTCTTAAAGGTTCTCTAAAGAGTTCTCTAAAGTATTTGTAACATACATTTCACACGGTCAGGTTTCCAATCTGCCCGTAGAGTAGTTGACATATATTAATAATATTTTCAAAAAATTTTCCCTCAGATAATAATCACGTGACACTTCATATACATTCAGTATGAACCGAGTAGAGTGACTCATTAAGTAGTCACGTGCTCTCCAACAGTCTATATTCTATGATGCATTTATAGTCTGAAACCTTACTACCGATAGAAAGCATAAAAATGCTTACTATTAGGGCACTAAAGTGTTCTAACCGTATTTAACATTCAAACGCAGCCTTGAAGCCCAACATGACTATTCTAGCCACAAATAATGACATGTACACAGAACAAAAATTATCTCCCATTCTCTTAGCAATCTGGAAAGTCTATGTCGGTCGTGTCAAAGTAAAAGACTGTGTAGTGGAACG